ACCTATCTGGTGACATGCGTAACACATGTCCCAACCAGCGTAATCTATGGAGGTCGATCAATTGTTTCAGTGGACGACCGCGACTGCCTAAAACTCTACGCCTAACCTCAGCATTTCTAGTCCGATTACCCCACCAGACACGTGCAATGCTACGTAGACAGCGGTGTTCGAACACCGACAATCTATCCTGTAGTGAGCAAGTCTCTGTACTGTAGAGCACGACTGGCCGAACTGCTGCAGCATACACTCGACCCTTCACAGAGCCGGATGTCGCGACGGCGCCGCAAATGTCTCAAGTTGGCAAATGCCAATCGAGCCTTTTGTATGCGCGCCGACACTTCATCTGTGATGCGTCCGCCGGGTGAGATATAGCTGCCTAGATAGCAAAATTTGTCTACTTTCTCTACTACTTCCCCAGTTAGGGTGAGACTGGGTGCTGGATCAATCCAACCTGGAAGTAACATTTTACACTTGGAAGGTGCAAAACGCATCCTGAACATCGCTACACTAACACTCAAACTATCCAGAAACGCTTGCAACTTACCTGGATCGTCACTTAGCAGCGCAGTGTCGTCTCAATACTCTAGATCAGAGTCTGCCACCCGGAAGTAAATCCATACCGCTATCCCTGCACGAGGATAGGACTGTTTCAATAATTAAATCTATAACAAAGTTAAATAGGAAAGGAGAGAGAGGGCAACCCTGTCGAACACCACTTTCCGTGGTGAACTCGGGTGAAAAAGTGCCGTAAGCTGGGACTCGGCCTGGGCTATTATTGTAGAGGGATTGTAATATTGAAATAAACTTCTCGGGTACTCCCTTCAGGGAAAGGCAGCGCCAGAGTTTAGAGCGGTCGACTGAGTCGAAAGCCGCTCTTAAATCGAGGAAAATAAAAATGGTGGGTCTACGAAAGGAGTGTCTATGTTCTAGAATTTGACGGAGTGTGAAGATGTGGTCAATACAGCCTCGACCAGGTCTGAAACCGGTCTGGTTCTCACGCGTACACCGTTCACTTGCGGCGGACAGTCGACGGAGTATGATACCGGCGAGAAGTTTAAAGACAATATTGATTACACTAATTCCTCTGTGGTCTTCACAGGAGGATCTGTCACCTTTCTTGTAAATCGGTATGATCACCGATTCACAGTATTCACTTGGAACCTGTTCCTTTTCCCACACTGAGCCCAGGAGTTTTTTTTAACTCCAAAACCAATGCTGAGCCGCTATTCTTAACGGATGGGGACAGCCCGTCGGGGTCGGAAGCCTTATGCCATTTGAGGTGACTTATTTCACGGGCAAACTCCATTTCAGATGGGGGACTGATGTCAAATTGTAGTATCTGCAAGATTGAACCGGGTGGGGGAACGTCTTGTGTTGAAGGGGACCAGCTAAACTGTGCCTTAAAATATTCTGCCCAACGTTCAAGACGACGTTCTTGAATTTGAATCAGTGTGCCGTCAGACTCCTTAATTACCTCACTTACGCCTGCTTTCCTTGATCCTTTACTCCTAATTAAACGAAAAGGTATGCGTCTATTACCAANCCGGGAGTTTTGTTAACTACAAAACCAAGGGTGAGCCTCCATTCTTAAAAACGGATGGGGACAGCCCGTCGGGACCGGAAACCTTATGCCGTTTGAGATGACTTATTTCACGGGCAACCTCCATATCAGATGGAGGACTGATGTCAACTGGTAGTATATGCACAGTTGAACCGGGTGGGGGAAGGTCTTGTGTCGAAAGAGACCAGCTAAACTGTGCCTTAAAATGTTCTGCCCAACGTTTAAGACGACG